AGCTTCGTCTCTCATACTTTGGATATATTGTCAGGAGGGAACAGTCACTGGAGAAGGATGTCATACTTGGTAAGATGGAGGGTCAGAGAAAAAGAAGACCCCCAACAAGATGGATCAGCCAGGTGGCATCACTGATTCCGTCAAGTGTGGCAGCGGTAGTGAGGTTGGCCCAGGATCGGACATTGTTTCGTTCTGCTGTGCATGGAGTTGCTATAAGTCGGTTCCGACTCGATGGCACCTGACAACAACATCATATAGAAGCAGCACCGGACTGCTAACCACACAAGATCAGTGGTTCAAAACCACCAGCAGCATCTCAGAAACCCTACACACCGTCACCAAATTGGAACTGGCACTTTAACATCACATGTGATAATCTTCTTATAAGAACTGTTCCAATCTGCAAGATAGAAAGAGTTACTTTTCTAACCGTGGCTGGTTTCTAACCGTTAGGCAAACACAGGGCAACAATAGCTGAAAACTAACATTGTGAAGTTAGGAGACAGTAGATAACATCCATGTTAACAGCAGCAGAGGCAGGTTACTTACAGTCTTTGAGGTGTTTTAAATGTATAGAACCGTAGTTAAGAACCACCTTTTCTGGTATTGAATTCTAGGTCATTCTGAGATCAGAATAAGGCAATATGGATATAAAGAAGTGAGGTAATATGATAAATTATACAAGTTCCAGATTTAAGAAATTGTGTAATCTTGGACAAATTAACCAGTTGAGCCTTATTTTCTGCTTTTGTAAAAGAATGTCTACCCTATTCATAAAGAGCAGTATGCCATCAAGTTGATGCCAGTTCATAGCAACCCTGTGTAGGGTTTCTAAGGTTGTAATCGTTACAGAGCAGAAAAGTCTCTTCTGTGGGGTGGCTGAGAGATTTGAACTGCTGACCTTGTGTTTAGCAGCCCAAACAGTAACCATTATGATACCAGAGGGCTCATCATAGATCTATTAATACCAAATTAAAGTGTCCTAAAAGGAGCTCTGGTAGCGTAGTGGTTACGAATCAGGCTGCGAACCTTTAAGGTCAGCAGTTCAAAACCACCAGCTGTTCTGTGGGAGAAAGATGAGGCTTTCTGCTTCTGTAAAGACTTACAGCCTCAGAAGCCCTGTACAGGGTCGCTATGAGTCAGAACTGACTCCATGGCACATAACAACAACAAAGTGTCCTAAAATCTAAACTAGGATCAAATATTAATGACATCTCTCCAATTCTGGAGCCTTCTTTAAGAAGACAACTTTCATCTCTGTATAAGATCCTAAGGGTGGAGTCTTGGTATAGCGTTACAGGATTAATGCACTGAACCGTAAGTTTGGTTTGAACCACAAGGTAGGCAGTTCAAACCCACCAGCTGCTTCTCAGAAACCCTACATAGGTTCGCTATGAGTCAAAAGTTAATAAGAGTGAGTACAATGCAAGAGTGAAGGAGTTTTGCAGTTAACTAAAAATGACTCAAATATATAAAAAAAAAAAAAAAAGATTCAAAGATCTGTATTAAAGACCATTTCATATTATTGTTGTTACAGCACAACAGAAATCTAAATTTAATGTTCAAGACACACAGATTGGAAAGCTTTCAGGAAATGCTCTGAAGGTCATAGCAACCAAGTGAACTATCGGGGATGGTCTCATTCACCGTTCCCTGCAGAGAAACGAAATCAACCCCTGACATCTGATGTTCAGTAGGAACAGTGAATAAGGCACATGATACAGGTGTGGCTGTCAGGTCACCAGTGTTGGCTTTTTAAAACTATAAAAATAAACATAAGGAACTAATGGAATAACAAAATAAAAGTTTATTTTATTAGAATTAGGAATGTTCTTTCCCTCTGGGCAACCTGAACAGTCCAGTTACAATGAAAATCTAAGAACAGTTATTCCCACAGCACAGGGTGCTCTATGCACAACATGACAGGGTTAGGAGCATATAATCAATTTACCAATCTGATTGTCGCACCAACCCGCCCCCTCCCATCCCCAAGTGCTCTATACCGGGATTTGCAGCTAAAAGAAATCTGTTACATCGAGTACTTTACTCTCTTGTACTAAATTTCAGTTCCTAACCATGGCTGAACCACATTTTACACTCCATTCAACCATTTCAAATCAAGTCAGTCAGTCTTGGATCCACTGTATATGTGTGTATGTATACACATGTGCATTTAATATTTTTATTTAAACACACATAAAACACATACAATCTGGGTCGCAGAAAATGACACAGAATTTAGAGTCTGATATTATATGCTATTCAGTTTTACCACTGATTTGTGTCCTGAGCTTCGGATCAAATTTTATTGTAGATCATTGAAGTTCATCTACTGCTTACTGAATCGTTCAAATAAAGCATGCACTTTTCAAAAGACAATGTAACTGCCCTCAAGAAAACAGGGAGACCCTGATGCTTATTGTGAATAGAGCCCTCTGCTAGCAAGACGTAGGTGGTGAAATAAGGAAGCTGTCATACAATATGGCTTGCCTATCCCAGTTTGGGGCATCATAGCTGTTAACAATGAAAGCAGTTAACTCAGGGAATTCTGTCAAGTATGAAGATAGCGATTAAAAGCCTGGGAGTAGAAAAGGCCACTTCACCTTGATCCATACAAATTAGAGAATGCACCCACAATTGCAATATCCTCAGGTAGTGTGCCAACATTGAAACTGAAAAGCATCTCTAAAATGTACTGTTCCTCCAAGGGGGCCAATATAACGAAGTGCACACACGGGTTTTGGATACCTGGTGCAAGGGGAGCATGTAAGGAGGATTTAGGACACTCAAACCTAGAGACTGAAGAGTTAACTGGGTAAGACTGTAAAAAACACAACACATACACAAAGCATTGTAAGGGAGTCGCAGAAATCTACATAGCAACTCTGGCTGCTTTTCAGAGTTACCAGGGAAAGAAACTTATTCAAGCTTTCTAAAAAAACACCAAAAAAAAAAAAAACAAAAAAACTTTTGATAAATGTATTTAAGAGTGATGCAATTATTTAAAGTACAATAAAGTCAAATGAAAGATGGAAAGAGGAGAAGAGAATATGGAAGAAGCGGACACTGAGTTCAGATTTGCACCTGAGGTGGGTAAGGGAGGGGAAGAAAAAGGTACAGGTAAAGTTGATCCTAAAGCGACAAGTGGTTTAAGGAAGCAGCATAATATATTCAGCAAACATTCACTGATTTTTGATGGGAAAACAACAGTTGCAAGTACATCTCATGTAACAACCTTTTCTAAAAGGAAAAGTAGGGTTGATTCAGCAAAGCCTAACTTAGGCAAAAGGCCAGAGGAAAGTGAACCTACTTCCCAATGGAGTAATAAGATGTACAATGCAAGAGCAGACAAAGCTGCCTCACAAATGGTAAACACTCCTCTAGGCGCAAGACAGTTAAAGGAAGACAAAGAGGTCCTCATCTAAAATTGGTATTTAATATTAAAACCTCTTAATCTAGTTGCCTAGTTCACTCTGCACTCCCGTATAAAACTGACAGATTTAGGGATGCTGACCTGTTGAAAAAATACCATAGCCAGAATAGCCTAAACAGATATATAGTTAATAAAACCACCACCATCCTTTACTTTTAACATAGCTTAGTAGAAATTTCATAAAAATGGACATCACAGCTAAAATGCATTATTAATTCTCCTACCTGCTGACAATGGAAAAGAAGTAAACTCAGTGATTCCTATTCAGGTGTGCTAGGTGGGAGATCATGTTCTAGGGGTGCTTACCTTCACACTGAACCCACAGCAACACACACGGCAATTTCAGTATCTGCCATTTAAAATCCACAATCTGAGACTAAGTGAATGGCTATGTGTTTATATTTAAAGCAAAAATCATCTATTTGACACCCTAATGTGGAGAAGGGGTAAAAGAAGAGCCATAACTAAAATCTTAAAAGGCTCAAAGCAGCAATTAAAAAAAATAAAAGTGAAAACCCAAAAGGAAAGAAAATTTCAAATGCTCCCTCTGGACACGACAGGTAGGTCAGGAAGCATGTAGCTGTGTTATATGACATGGGCACACAAAGTCTTGGGAGACCACTGAGGCCATGAAGGGGGAGGAGGATGAGGATGGGGATGGGGTCATCTTGAATGGCAGCAACCAAGCTCCCCACTGCAGCCATCATCAGGCCATGGCATCTCATCAGAGTGCAGCCTCCCTGTCCCTTGATCAAGAGCTGGGAATTCAAGGCATGAGGCCTGTGACCAGCAACAGACATATCCACCCCCAAAAGGCACGGTAACCTTGGGGGCAGGAAAGGGAACCCACGAGCTCTCACTAGATTTGCCAGAGGTGCTAAACCAACACACTTGTAAATCCCAACCCTGGAAACAGAAAGCAAACGGAAAGAAAATGCACAGCAAATAGACAGGATCTTCAAGATCGTAAAGAATAAATATTTTCTGTGATTACACATTATGCAAACACGTGCCACGCTTGCTTTGTCCATGCATGTGCGCTATATACAATTTTGAAAAATACTGCGTTGTCCTTTTGTTTTAAAAGTCATATACAAAGTTTTCTGTTTTTGTTTAATCCTCTCGCTGCCTACCCTTCCCTGCCCCAAGAACTTTCTTTACAGTTATGAACTTGGGGTATGAGAGTCAGTCTGTGTGTGGGTGGGTGTATTTGTATGTGTAGGGGAGGAAGGAGAAGAGGTCCTTTACCAAAGTACAACAAAATAGCTGGTTTGGACATGAAAAGCAGTGTCAAAGAGCTGTTGTAAATTTTAACTGTACTACACTCGGGAAAAAGAAAAAGAAAAAGGAGTCAGCTTTGAGAATGAAGCTACGTTACAAGTTAAAGTTGGAGGGCTTTTAGTGTGTCCGTCACACTTTTGTTGGCGGCCTAGAATACTGTTGTACAATGGTTTATCTACCTTTTTTATTACAATATAATTTACTTAAACTTTCCGTTAACAAAACAGAATTCCGGTACTACAGACCAGCGGTGTCAGAAGAGGCTTAGTGCCTGCTTATTTGTGTTTGTTTTGTTTTGTTTGTTTTAATTGCATGAGCACTCTAGATGGTAAAGTTTTCAGAGTTCATTTTATGCAGGGCCATTCTCAGTCCTCAATGTATTCCCACAGATCTTTCTCATAGCCTTCATGCACATGCTGTAATAAAACCCTTCGTCGACTCTCACAGTATCTGTAATTAAAGAGGAAACAACAACAACAAAAACTTGTCAGTCTCCATTAATACAACAGTATTTATTTATTTAAAGTACTCCTATAGAACTATGCACAGGTTTTTTAACAAGCACATTTTTAGATATACATGCACAGATACATTAAATTGTTTCTAGTATTAAAACAGTATTTTCTGCAGAGCCATGATTCCCAGTGCTGGTAACTCATCTGAATTCAACCCCATTGCTCTACAGATGAGTAAACAGTTTCAGAAAGAAGTCATTTTAGTGGCTACTTAATTCTCATCTGTAAACCCATGGATACAGTAAAAGTACTATAAACATAATACATAGCAGCTATAGTGACACTAAGGACATGAAGGCTACATCTCCTCCCAGCTCACAAAGCCTCCGACTATTTTATTTAACTATTAAAAAAAAAAAAAAACTTAGTACATTTCCCAGGAAAAAAAACTGGGGAATGAACTTCTTGTGCAGAAATCAAACATTTTCAACTTTAGCTTAAGAAGTGGCATATCTGCCCCTAGGCAAAGCAACTCTCACCTTGAAAATCATGAATCTAGCAAACAGTCTACAGAGTGAGTTTGGGTAAATCACTTGTCAATAGCTATGACCCACAGGACCCTCATGTTAAGACCAGCATCCTAGTCTCACCCCTCATCCTAATGGCCACTTGCCCATTTAGACTCTTTCTTCCTTGCAGGGCCAGCAACTAAGTAGATAGAGCTGAACAGAAGCAGCAGAAGCAGCCAGTGGGATAAACGGCTGATTTCCTCCTCTATGCTTGACCAGCACTACTAGCTGCAATTCGTTGCCCAATGGACAGAAGCAATCTGTGAGAAATACGGCAGCAGCTCAGTTACTGGATATGCTAAAGCCAAGTTTCACCACCACCTAACTTCACTACTGAAACACACTAGAGCACCACTGGCAGAAACTTTTGTTCAAAGTTAGTAAAAGAAATCCTCACCTGTACTTATCTTGAACTTTCTGCTTTATATCCTGCAGAGAATCTTGGGAAATATCTCGCTCTAGGTAGCCCGAAAGCACCTCTGTAGCATTCTCTAGATCTGCTTGGTTATTCTGCAAGAGGAGGAACAACATACAGCATTGATTTTGACTAAACAAAGGTTTTTATTGAGAATTTATAAGTACTATGTAAGCAGTTTACATGGATTATTATACTTAAACATAGAATAAATACTTATGGTTAATTTACCTCAAGTATTTATTCTTTCTCATTGGTTCCTGAGTGTCTTGAATGAGGACTCCAAACCACACCTAATCTGACAGGTTATGCTAATGAGGTGACTCCAGGGGTGGGACTGGGCAGGTCAGAAAGAATCATATAGTTCTAGGAGCTGAGCTCAGAGGGAGATATGATCCAATCAATAATGTCGATGTAATAAAGATTGAAGAGAAGGTCCGTGGGCTCCTAGCTGGTGAAAGACATTGATGCACATGGGCTGGTAGCACGCCTTTTAAAATGGAAGCTCCACACTGTAACCTTGTTGATATAAAAAATATGAAGCCGCCCCTTGGAGAGCTTTCCTAAATTCTGAGTTGTTCTAGCAAATTAATGAACCTGAAGAGGCAAGTCAGAATTGAGGGAGAGCTCTGGGTATCCTGTGGGGATAATAGGAAAACCCCAAAATTGTAGCCAAGACAGGAATGAGGAAGTTCATGGGGACCACAAGCTTGAGACTGGCATCTGAAATCTTGGGCAGACCTGGCAGTCTAGACAATTGTGCTCTTTACCTTTTGAGGTATGACCAGGTGATTAGGGTCATATACTTCAGTTGAATCAATAAATTACATTGATTTGAGAAGTGGGATTTGATTTTTCCAGCAGGCATTATTCTCTAATTTTGAAACAGAAATACTGTTGTTGTGAAATGCCGTCTAGTTGGTTCTGACTCCTAATTACCCTGGAAGGCAGGGCTGGGGAACCGTCTGGCCTGCAGGCTGTGTAAGGCCAAGGGAACTGCAACAGCTCCAGCCGTCCTATTGGGTCCGGGAAGTTCAGGAAATGTTTGACCAGTTTTTAAATTCATAATTTTGTATGGCCTGTGAATGTTATAAATTTCCAAGGAGCAGCTGGTGGATTTGAAAAGCTGACCTTGTGGTTCTCAGCCCAATGCTTATCCTACAGCACCACACCAGGAGTCCAAAACCAGTGCCTGCTGTTGTCAAGTGCCATCGAACTGTAGGGTTTCTGAGAGGTTTTAGTGAGTTTTAACTGCCCACCTTGTGGTTCAAACTCACCTCCAGGTTGGGTGCTAAAAAGTGATGTAGTCAAAATTCAAATACAGGGCACTTAAACGCTACCTAGCTAATCAACATCAATTTGAATGTAGTTTAGACCAAAAACAAAACAAAAAAAAACCAAATTTCTTTCCAGAGAATAATATAGTTATCTACATTTTCTGAGTCAATAGAAACCTTTAAAATCTTATACAATTGCTAACTTGCCCATCCCTAACAACCCTGTGTACAGAGGGTTAGGTTTGATCCTTCATGTGAGCTCCTTCCCTCTCAATTTGTATTCTGAGCCACTACCATTCATAAGTATAGGTCACGCTCATCAAATTATAGCAATTTACACTTGTTTCCTTTATCAAATTTATCTTCCTTTAGTCGAGTTCTGATCATCAAGCCATTGAAGCTAGGTCAAGTGGGTACTATATCTACAAGTTTAGGTGGTGTTGTGCGTCTCCCTCTCCATATCAGCTGGATGCTTCACTCTCAGCTCTAACATGGCTATGTCCTTGTCCATGGGCTCAGGAGTCCCCAGGTCTCACCATACTTCGAACCAACCAGCCCTTCCTCTTCTCTGACTTCCAAATCAACGGGAGTCTATGGAATGTGGTGGAATTTAGCTCATATCTTCATTGCTGCCTTTCCCCCACTTAAAACTCACTAGTAGGCCAATGTGGTCTCCAGCAAGCTTACATGCCTGCTCGTATATTCCCTTTGAGTTTCTGTCTTGGAGAGGGGTTTGTCCTGAAGGGACTTGATTGCTTGCCTTCATGTCTCCCCAGTGAACAGCTTGCTAGTTCTTGTAGTAGCCAATCACACTGTCATTTTTGTTTTGGATTTTTCCTGCTGGTTTTTCTTTCAAGAAGTTATCTTCTGTTCCTCTAGCTGCTCTAGGCTGGTGTGCTTTTCAAGTAGCAATGTCCTACCTCAGAAGGTTCTGTATGGGGATCAGGATTCCACCTAAGGTCCTATACACTGCAAAGGTTCCGCAAGAAGCCTATTTCACTGGACAAGTTCTAGAACCCGTTTTAGGTATCCCAATCAGCCATAGGCTGAAGACAGACTTACAAGCTTTCTATAATTATGTTTCCTGATATTCCTTTCTATCCCACTCGTGTCTATTTTACAACAGTAGGCAAGGGAAACCAATATTCATAAGCATCTTAACATTATTTCCCTTTTTTTAACCCATTCAGGTTATGCCTCAATCCCTGTATACGACAGTCTTGTTGTTCCAAGACTGAGCATACATCATTATTTACCTCTTTCACATTTAGCCCATGCAAATCTAACAAGTGTTCCCCTATCTACCTTGCTGTTCCACTCCCCTCCCCTCCCCGCTTCTTGGATATTGCCCTCCCCAACCCCCCAGCTATGATGTGACTATCCCCTAACCTGTGTTCTACTGTGCCCTCCCTTCCCACCCCTGGAAACAAAGAATTTTTTTTTTCTTTTAGTATGGGTACCTTTTCTTAAGCTTTCATAATAATGGTCTTATGCAATACTTGTCCTTTTGTGGCTGACTTTAGCATAATGTCCTCAAGTTTCATCCATGTTAAATGGTGGTTTGCAGCTTCATTGCTATTCTTCAAGGTAGCACAGTATTCCATTGTGTGTGTGTGTGTGTGTGTGTGTACCACAGTTAGTTTATCCTTTCTTCCACTGCTGGGCACTTAGGCTGTCTCCATCTTTTTGCTATTGTGAATAGTGCTGTGATAAACATTGGCGTGCATAGATCTACTTGTGTTCTGGCTCTTATTTCTTGTGGACATATACCAAATAGAGGAATTGCTGGATCTGAAGTATTTCTAGTTCCAACTTTCTGAGGAAGCACCATACCATTTTCCAGAGTGGCTGAACTACTTTAAATTCCCACCAGCAATGTAGGAGGGTCCCAGTCTCGCCACATCCTTGTCAGCATTGATTGTGCTCTTGTGTTTTGTTTTGTTTTGAACTTCACTGTTATTGCTGGTGTGAGATGATATTTCACAGTAGTTTTGATTTAAATCTCTCTAATGGTTAATGATCATATGGGTTTAAAAAAAAGGGTGGGTGGATGTTTCTTGATAAAAGATACAATCTATGATGGTTTTGGGGGAAGGAGGGTAGACACTTGTGGATATGGGTGATGGGGCAGGCTGGCAGAGGAAAGATGGGGGTGGCGGGAGACACAGGGAGGAATGCCGAGATTAAAATGACAGGTAAATGCTGTTAATCGTTGGTGCATGGAAGGGATTGCAACCATGTAATGGAGCACAGAATATGATTTGCTGAATGTAAAACTGGTGACTTGCTCTGTAGACTTTCACTCAATTCATAACGAAAAGTATTTTTTTTAAAACCCTATACAAAAAAAACCCCTATACAATTGATCCTTGACCAACATGGATCAATTTATACCTCTGTTTTCCAAGAGGAGATGATTAGTGTCACACAGCCTTTGAAGTGGCTACTTGCCCCCCTTGAGCTTACTGAAATTGCAAGAGGTAAAAAAGTGGGCCCATGCAGTTCAATCTTGCATTTTTCAAGAGTTAACTGTAAATCATATGTAAATGTTTGTCTGCAAAGAAGGTTGGCACCTGTTAACCCATGCTGTTCAAGGGTCAAGTGTATGAAACACAGAGCGGTCCATGAGACAAGGTGAGCCTTTCTTCCCCGCCCGACCACACCTACCTCAAAGATAATGGACTGGTTATTCTTTTTGAGGTAGAAGGCGAAGACGTAAGTGTACATGAGTGTGGCACGACACTGGCAGAGGACATCCACTGCTTTCTTCAGGAACTGCACCTCAATCCAGGACATGTTGTGCTGTTGCATCTCCTCCATTTTCTGCTTCACCTGAGCATACAGTTTGTGCTCAAAGCGGAGGCTCTGCATGTGGTTCATATAGCGATTACAGTAGAACAGGTACCTCTGCAGGGCTGCCCTAGATCGCTGTTCCATTAATGAAAAAGAAATACAGTACACACAAAGCTGTTGTTATATTTACTGATGAAATAGTATGGAAATACAGTTTTGGAAGAAAAAAACACACAACAAAATACTGATATCTCTGTTAGTCAATAGGATTTCTGTAGCTGAGCTTTCCGATACAGTAGTCAGTAGCCACATATGGGTGGGCTATTTACTGTCAATTAAAATAGAAAATTCAGTTCCTCAGTGCTCAATAGCTATTTGTGGTGGCAGTTGTTGTTTAGTGCTGTTGAGGCAGTGCCAACTTTTAGTCACCCTGTATAGGGTGTCCGAGGAGTAGGTGATGGGTTTGAACCACTGACCTTGTGGTTACTAGTCAAGTGTTTATCCTATAGCATCACACCAAACTGAGAAGAGAACAGTGATATAGAACATTTCTATCATTACACTGGATAACACTGTCATGAAAGTGCAACAAGGTATAAAATAAACAAGAAGCATAAATATTTTGAAGTAGAAAATGACAGAGATCACCAGATATTATGTAACTCTTGATACTATGCAAAAGAAAGCCAACAGTACCACTGGTTAAATGTTCTGTGCCTCAATCCCCAAAACTGAATCTAAATCTTTTTATTGGTATCTCTCAACTCAATAATCTATAGGTCCTTTCTACCTTTCCCCACCCTTGCCCTTTATTTGGTGGAGAAATTTGGTCATTTTACTACAAATTTTCTTTTCTAACTGGATCAAACTTGGATCCACACAGGTTCACACGTACAAGAAAACTTCTGCATTTTAGAGATACAGGAATACCAAAGAAACTATATGCCACATATGTATCTAGTATAGAAAGAACAGTGTTGTATTATTCACCACACTGCAAAGTCAATTCACATAGGTATCTCAAACTGTACTGTAAATCTTGGTATCTCCAGCACTTGATACACAGACAATGACTAACAAAAACCTGTTAAATGAAACTGCTTCCATGAGCTTTCTAAATACACATCTACTACTTCCTTTCCTTTATATTCTCATCTCCACAACATTCCTTGGCCCTATGGTTGATCTCTTGCTTAGAAACAAGAAATCTTAAACATATATACCTACTCCTCACTTATCAACATGGTTACGTTTGAAAGACCAGGTTGTTATTAGAAAATGGAGGATGCCCACATCACATCAGAAAACTGTCAAATCACTGAGAATCACAGTCTATCCAAAGTGACCCATAACTTTAACCATCCCAGCCAGTGCTACTCTTGCCTCACACCTTGGTGTTCATGTCTGTTGATAATGTGCAAATCAATTTGATAGTTGTTGTTAAGTGCCACTGAGTCAGTTCTGACCCATAGCGACCCTATCTAGGGTTTTCAAGGGGCAGCTGGTGAGCTTGAACTGCCGAGCTTACACATGTTATTAAACTATTGTCATAAAAGTGAAATGTTGAATAAAGAGATCGCTGGTAAGTGCTTTATTCATTATCATAAAACACTGAAATACCCTACACCCGAAACAAGTACAAGTCATGTTATTTCAACTCAGTTGGTATCATAACAATGCTTATGCATTGGAAACTTATGCCAATCTAAAAATCTATATTAAAAACTATCTGCTTGCTGTGAAACACTGGTATTTCCAAGCATAACAAATTCCCAAAATGGAATAAAAAAATCTAAATGATCATATTAATGCTAGATGCTATAATTATTAGTCTAATAATTCTGAAACAGCTTCTTATTGCTAAAATTATGTGTAAAAATTCAATTATGAAAAAAGGAAACCAATACCACCAACTGTAAATAACTTTCCAATTAGTTGCTAGACTCTGAATTGAGAAGAACAATCAGTGGTCTGCAGACATTTTGGTAAAAACCTAAACTGATTTGCCTAACGTATAACCCGAAAGCCAGATTCAGTTGCTGCCTCCTTTTGCACCCAGTCACGTAAGCCTAAGGCTGCTTTAGAATCACACGGGCAGAGGCAGAGTTGAGTAGTGTTAGCAGAATACTTGTGGTCCATAAAACTGAAAATATTTATGATCTGGACCTTTCACAGAAAAAGTGTGAACAAATTATTGAATGGAAAGCTAAATCTGTTCTGTAAACCTTCAACCAATACACACATACAAACACACACAAAAAAGTTAAAAACAGAAAAAAGGTGCAGACCCTTAAGTCTAGAAAGTCTAGAAGACAGCAAAATTCAAGTGTTCACCGGTTAATACATGCCATAGTTTTCAGCCACCAATTATTCTACAGTGCAGGTACAGCTTTCCAAGGCACACAAGTACCTTAAAGGAACCATGTACCAACTTCCAAACACATCATCTAATACCATCATTTAAAATCTACAATGCCAGTAAACACTAGGCCAGAGTATGGGAGTTGGAGAGAAGAAGGCCATGAAGATATGTAATGGTATAGTTTCCCAAAACAAATAAACAAAGGTAATGATATGAAAATTTCCTCTGTATTTCTGCTAGCTCAGTGGTAGAAGATTCTAGACTTGGTCCAACAGATGTGACCTGAAAAAAATAATCTACACATTAGAAATCTAAACTCTAGACATTAGAATTCTCTGGTATGAGCAAATACCATATCTGGACAAACTACTTTTCATTCATAATAAGTAAAAACTCAGGGCCAAACCAAGGTAATTAAGAAAAACACACTGCAGCATAGAGAAAAAGATTTCTCTGTGGACTCAAAAGAGTTATCATCAAAATTAATATGTAATTTTAGGAAACATAAGCCTCGTAACGTAGGATATAAGACAACTGTGACTGCTTAAAACAGAAAGCCATAAGGGAGAAAAAGCCAAGATGAAAAAAACAGTAGGAGATGCAATGACAATCTGAGTCAAGTGAAAAATATACTAGTAGAATTAAGTTCAAACAGAAGGCTGGCAAAGTATGACAGCAGCAAAAAACTTCTGTATCCAAATTACATCGATGATGTGTGCCTGATAGGGGTGCCAACTGCAGTTAGTGCATGGAATTCAACAATGTCTATGAAAACTTTAATTAAACATTTAAAAATGTGTTTAAAATCTGGCAACATGTATAAAAAGACAATTACTCAGGATCATTTGAATGAATGTCTTATCATTGAAAACCAAAATTTAATTTCAGGGCTTACATGTGAGAAATGGATATAACTGGCATTAAGTAGTATTACTTAAACTGCAGCAAATGAATGCGAAAAACAGGTGGTAACAGAATGTTGATGTTAGGTGCCCTTGAGTCAAATTCAATTTGCTCCCATGTGACAAAGTAAAACTGCCCCATTGGGTTTACGCTTTAACCTTTATGGAGCAAACAAATCTGAAAATAAGAATGTTCCTAATTACCCAGTATTTCTTTACTGGGATATCTTCCTTCACATGTTTCAGATTTGATTGAAAACTTCTCCAAATTACTCCCTGATGAAGGTACAATGCACTCAGTAGAAAACAGATGTACTTACCTCCTGTGCATCTCTTGCTGCCTTTGCATCATCCTCATTATAGCGGTTACAATTGTACCTTAAAGTAAAGTAAGAGGAAGCCATAAACAATAAAAAGAGAACAAATCACACTTTTAACCCAGATTTAGAGATCATCAAGCACCAACATCTTCCTTAACACAAAGAAATTGAGATGTTAAAATGCCCAAGGTTCTAGAATTATAACGAAAGGATTACTGGGCTGAAAGGAATGGGAAATATTGCTCAATTTAATCCACATCTTGTCCTTGAGCAAACAATAATGTGATAATGACGGGTTCCCTCCTTGGGCTGTTTATTCCAAATCAGTACACCTATCACCACTAGGAAGCACTGCCATTCTATAACCTCTGTTTACAGGCTGTAGTTATGAACTTCTCAACCAATATCTGAAGACAGAGTTCATCTATTGTACTTCTCTTTTTTAGGCCAAATATTCTCAATTTTGAGAGCTACTCACTCACCTTTTTTCCGGTTCTTTTTAAGCAAATGAGAATCAGTAGACATTATGCTTTATACTTTAGTACTATACAGTTTATAAGAATCATTTAAAATTGAATGGCATATACAATTGGGGGTGGTGAGGTGGGGAAATAGCCACAGAAGCCAGCTCAGAGTAGAGAAAGGTAAGAAAGGTTATTCCCTCATCCTAGTTCCTCTTACCGCTTTCATGGGAGCAGCTGATATGTACTGAATGCTTACTACATATTGCTAAAAACTTTAATCCCTTTTCAACTGCCTTAAGAAATATAATTTTTACTGATCAGACAAAGAATTGGGTTAAGAGATGATAAGTAACATTCTTAAAGTCACGTAGGCAGTCTCAAACCAGGAATTCTTATGCATGTCTGCCAACTAACCAGTGAGTGGCTATTAAGTCATATTTCGGAACAGTGATCTTTTTCAATCTAAAGGAAAACATTTGAATTTAATTTAAATCTTGTTAAATTAAGCCACTATTCTAACTTGTCAAGCTCTATAGGGTTTTAATGGTTAATAAACTCAGTATTACCCTTTGTTATCACTCCAAAATGTATAAAGATTCTTATATTAGTTCAAACAAGTAATCAACAAAAGTTATTCCATAAGGCCATAAACTAGGTCCCAAACTTGCAGTCCACACATCTTGCTGAAAGCTAAGATGCTGTCTTTGATTCACCATCATCATGACAACAATTAATTTTGGGATTTTGCATGAGAGAAGAATCAAGTTCTGTGGTTCCTATGTGTAAGCCCTGAAATTAAATTTTGTCTGTAATGACATTGGTATCTATATTTACATTCATTACTCAGAAACAGGAGTACTGGTGTGGCATGGTGGGTTAATGCGCTGGACTGCAAGGCTGGTATGAATTGCGAGGTCGTTGGGTTCAAGCTCATCAGCCCCTCCTTGGAAACCCTATACAGGCTTGTTATGAGTCCGGAACTGACTCGATGGCACTTAACAATAATAACTCAGATATAACCAACACTGGTTCAGTGATCACATCTTCAAAGATTGTTTCCCCTACAATGTTTTGTTGTTGTTGTTTTAATTATATAAATATTGTCTAATGACCTTTTTTACATGTACAATTCAGTAAACTTAATCATCTTAGTTATGTTGGGCAACCATCATTTTTCTTCAACTTTTTAAAGCACCTCATACCACATCTGAACTGGTCAGATGTATAATTTTTCTCCAGACTGGGTTTATAGTGTTCTCTTATCAATTACTGTGATATTCAACTTAGCCCAATAATCACTCTCAGTGACAGAAACAGAAATTCATCTATTGGTCAGCTATTAACATTTCTCCATCAGCATCTTCTTCTGATATATTCTTAACAACATTCCTTTTCGGTATTTGAAAAAGATATTTATAACCTCAAGTCATTCTGGGCTTCACTCTGCTAACACTCATATGACTGATAACATTACCTGAAATGCTATTTTGAGGATTCTTCAGCATATTCAGATTTCAGAAGGGACGTATGCCATGATTCATTTGTAAAGTCAGAAATAGGTCAAGGCAATATGCAGGGAATATATATGACAGCCCTGCCCTGATCCAGGCCACTCTTCTGCAGCCATCATTTCTTATGTACCTTTTTAAGGTTTTGAAGCAGCTCATTTAAAATCTGAAATGTGCTAGGAGATTGCCTTAAACAAATGCTATATCTTTGTAAGCAGCAAATTCCTCATTAGTCTTCCTTCATTAGACTTGTTTACAGGGTGACTTTCATGTCTGGGAGGACTGTAGTCCTGCGCTTTGCCTAAACCTGGCTAAATCCCAAATACCCTTCCTTGGCTCTAACAGTGGCACACTCACTGTCTTTACTTGCATTTTGTTGTTGTTGGCTGTTAAGTGCCATTAAGTTGGTTGTGACTCATAGTGACCCAGTATAGGGTCTCTGAGGAGTGGCTGGTGTGTTTGCTCTGCCAACCTTGTGGTTCAAACTGACCTTGCGGTCCTGTGCTTATTTCACAGTGCCACACCAGGACTTCCACTTACCCAGTCAATTTTGAACCATTAAGAAGCTCCTTCATATGTAAAGAACGCAATACAGAGCCTTCTCAATCTAAATTACCAATCTGGTAACAGCATTCCCACTTAAAACCCTTCATCTCATTTACTAAATAAAACAAAGGTGCTATCTCCATCAATGTAAATGACATTATGCTGTTCTTCTGAGGAAATACAGCAAATCAGAAAGTAAAAGCCCAACCAAAACAGGTGCCAATCAATTGAAGGTTGTCAAACAGTAATGCAAGCTTGTTCAAAGAGAAACAAAACAATCTGGATCTGGGGACGAGGGGCCAGAATTTCCAAATTTTAATCTAAGTGATGTGCAGGGTAAATAAAACACACCTGCAAGTTGGGTTTTGTTCACAGCTTGTTAGTTTTTAACTTTTGCTTGAGGTGGTTATTAAGTGCTGCCACGTCAGTTCTGTTGTATAGGGTTTCCAAGGAGCGAATGGTGAGTTTGAACCACTAGCCTCGAGGTCAGCAGCCCAGTGCCACAGCAGGACTCCGAACTTCTGCCTATAGTTCAGAAATCTCTGAACAAGTCACGTACTTTCCCATCACTGTGCCTTAGTTAATGCTGTCCTTTCCCCCTGGATGTACTTTCACCTCCGTGCAATATGCCCAATGAAGCCCTCCTTCTGTGTCACTTGAAATCACCCTGCCTATAACAGTGATCGTTCACTGCTGTTTATCTAGCCTATCTCCCAAGCTAGATAGTGATCTTAATGAGGTAGACAAGTCTTTTTTTTTAATTCTCGGCACACAGCAGATACTTAAGTGGACATTTTACTCTTCCCTTCATTTTCCCAACCTACCAGGCAGATCCATGTGGTTCCCAAGGGCCAAGACACACCCAGCAAAACTCTGCTTTACAGTTCTGGTTACGACAGACCATGTGATTACAACCGCCATCCTTCTCAATTGTGACATGGCATTTGGGACATTCCTATGAAGAGAAACTATAAAGTTGGTGTCAATGCTACACTAGGTTGTATTACAACCACCGAAAACAACTTATTGTTTTCATAGATAGTATTTATTGTGATTAAGTACATGTATAACAACTTAGAACAGTGTCCAACACAATAAGCACAATTAAAAATCAGTGATTATCATTACTGGCTTTTAAGTGTACAATCTTCTGAGGATTTTTTTGTGGGGTTGGAGATAAAAACATTACAAGTACTTTTTATCATATATGTAGCAATAGTAGCTTCAGGGGAGGTAAAACAATTTTTCTTTTCTTGTGTCAGCTAGAAATAACTATTAAGCATTTACTATATCCTAGTGCACTGATCTCAGTGTTCTATTTATATTCATCAACTCACAATTCTTACAGCAGCACTACTGCTATTGTCATTTACCATTATATGTAATGAATGAACTAGTCCTAAGTCACACTCATATTACAGATAGTCAAGATTCAAAACCAAGCAATGTGGATGTAAGAGCAAGGCAAGCAGGAAAGCAGGCCTTGACTGGTAAATCCTTCTTGTGTCTACCAAATTTCCCAACTGCCTTTGGCCCGATGTGGCCTGTTTACAACTGTGCTACAAAGATCAGCTCTATTTTTTACCCCCAAATCCCTATCATGTTCTTGATGACTGGTGAGCCACAGCCACTGCCCTTTAGGTCTAATTTTGTTCTGAAATACTTAGAAAATTAAAACCACTCATTTTTTATTAAAATTATAAATAGCACATAAAGCACATGACTAGCATATAAATAAGTTTTGTAACCTCTACTGGAAGCATCATCCATTTAATTATTCTCTGCACAATTTGGCATTCTTTGAGAAACAGACTATCTTTGACCACAAACTATTTTAAGTTTGTCAACATGGCAATTTAAAAACATTATTTTGATGAATCTGTAAAACACCTCATAACATGGATGATCCTGGAGGGCATTATGCTGAGTGAAATGAGTCAATCACAAAAGGACAAACATCATGAGACCACTGTTGTAAAAAGTTAAGAGGAGGTTCTCTTACTAAAACAAGCATTTTACGACAATTACCAGGGATGGAAGGGAAGGGAAAATTACTCACTGGCAGGAAGGTAAACACATGTTTACTAGGGTGATGGGTAAAGGCATATACATCAAGGTTGGCACAGGGAAGATGAAGGCAGTGGGAGCAGGGCAAGAGTTAAAGTGAACAGGGGTACATGTTAACTGATGGTACATGGAAGGGGTTGCAAACAGTATCATGCAACAAAATATATGATCTGTTGAATGTGGGACTGATATTTCTTCTGCAAACTTTCACTTAATTCACAATAAAAAGTTAAAGAAACATTATTATTTAAAATTAAATTTCTGAAAATACCAAGATAAGACATTTTCCCAAATAAGTAGATCCCAGTCATACAATGTTTGCTTCAGTCTACATTTCCTGATTGTAATTAACCGAATGGTGTTAAGTGCCTAATATACTAGGATGCCATTAACTTCTCATATCTGTTTAAGGAGTTAGTTTTAACCTTTTTGGGTTGAACAAGGTATTAATGGTGTAACATTGTGTGGTATCATCATTTCAGTACATCTTATTCCTACCATTGTCTTGTGACTGAGGGGGTAAAAAGTGCAGTTCTGATACTGGTCTAACAACTCAGAGAGCATTCTGTAAAGCATTGTTTTCACATGTAAACACAATACTAAAGAGAAATAGCCCATGAATCAGTCTATCATTCCTCACAGAAGTTAGTATCCATATAGATAAAATATAGAACTGTTCTTTAAGAAGAGTACTCAAATGCTCTTGCATTTGGGAAGGCACCTACATCCAGGATCAAGGAATTTGTTCATGGTCATAAAGAGCTTACAGTTTGAAATGAGTGTCAAGAGCAATGTATTAAAACAAAACAAAACAAAAAACCAAGCATTCCTACGCTGTTGTTAGTGTTGTTGATTGAATCAAGTATCAATAAATTTTTAGTTGAAGTATCTTTGTTTAACGCTATCTAGTTTAGTTATGCAATAAGAACTTAACAGCTGCTCACTTGCTCTGCTCTCAAGAATGTAAATCCCAAGCTTAAAACCCACTGCCTTCAGGTCAGTTTCAACTCATAGTGACCCTATAGGATAAATATGAATTGCCTGATAGGGTGGTCCAAGGATGTTATCTTTACAGAAGCAGATTACCACATCTTTCTCCAGTAGAGCAGCTGGTGGGTTTGAACTGCCAATCTTTTGGTTAGCAGCCAAATACTTAACCACTGTGCTGCCCGGGGGCTCCTTAGAACCAAGCTAATCCACTGCCATCAAGGTAATTCCAAGTCATAACATCACGCATACATTTTTCAAGGCTGTAAATCTTTACAAAAGCACAAAACCTCATCTTTCTTTTGTGTAGCAGCTAGTGGGTTTGAACTGCTGACCTTGTGATTAACAGTGTCTATCGTGGAGTCCTGGTGTGGTGCTGTGGGTTAATGCACACATTTGAACTGCAAGGTCAGCAGTTCAAGCTCACCAGCTGTACCCTGGAAGCCCTATGCAGGGTCACTATGGGTCGGAACCGACTCAACGGCACTTAACAACAACAACAATTGTGCAGCACCACCAGAGCTTCTTCAGAACCAAGCTAGAGGGAGTAAGCTCTACAACACATACGGACTCCAAAGCAACAAAGAAGCACTCTCAAACCCCAGACTGGAAAATGGCTATTAGCTTTTCCCTCTATGGGAAATGAATGCTTTTCCTGAAGAAGAAAACTTCTAAAGCATAGTATGATATATACTGTAGTTCAGTACTCAGTATTCTAAAATAAAATTAACAGAGGCTAACACAAGCTCAAGCGGAAATAAGGGAAAGTTGCCGATTTTGTTACTAAATAGGTAGTCATTTTGAAAACGCAATGGAGAGAGGTACACATGCTGGTGTAGTTAGGTGACATTACAACCTTTAAAGTTATAAGACAGATACACCTAACTTTGTCAGTTTCCTTATCAAGAGGTGCTGAGGGAAAACACCAACCTTTGTGTTGGCTGCAATCCAATTGGAGGTTTCACTGTCATCATCACACTTTTTAATCCACTTCTTTAACCACTGTTTGAAAACAACAACTGTTAGGGTATAATAAAAGACTTATAAAAAGGAATATCATGAAAGGAATAATACATTACTTCAGGACTTAACTACAAATTTAAATGTAAAAGCCAAAGGCATTTATCACTATTCTTACTTCCTCTTGAACCAGGGAGTTTTTTATTTCTCATATATAGTATTCAGTTGTTACAGTGCCGTTGATTGGTTCCAACTCACAGCAATGTGTATAGGGCTTCCAAGGAGCAGCTGGTGAGCTGGAACCATGGTCCTTATCCTACAGCACCACACCAGGACTCCCAGTACATAAAAAACAACCAAAGCAGGATTCTCACTGATTGAAGCTGAGTGAGGAACCTAGAACTTGATGAAAAGCTCAGTTCCAAGGTTTGTGTTTCATGTCACCACATTACAAAGCCTGCCAAGGGAGGTGCTTTAATCATGGTTACCCTGACAATTGGAGCTTGATTCCTTATTTTCTGCTCTTGAGGAATGCTCCCTGAATCCCTATAATCACTGCTGAGATTTTAAGTCATAGAAATTCCCCATAGCATTATTTTTAAATGAAAATGCCTGATAAACTTACCTTACATTTAACAGGATCATGCCAATTTTCTCCACAGTTAAAGCTGTTAAGTGACAAAGAGTTAGATACAATCAGTCCTACAGACTTAATAAATAAAACAAACCAATCAACCACTTCCATGGTTTATAAGTCCACCAATTTCTGTGGTTGGTTTCTGTTGATTTGGCCCTGAATCAGTGATCCCATTCAACCACACTGGGACTGAACCTCTGTAATCCATCAAGTTTTCACTGGCCAATTTTCCAGAACTAGATTGCCAGGCCTTTCTTCATAGTCCGTGAGCATCACTGAAACCTATTTGTCATCATAGCAACACATAAGCCTCCAATGATACAGACAGGTGTTGGCTGTGTTGGAGATGCACTGGGAGGAACTGAACCTGGTCTTCTAAACAGAAGGCAAGATCTCTACCACTGAACCACAACAGACCCCAGCCTCCACCAATTTCCAATGACTGGTAAATACAAGGGCAGGAGTCATTCTATATAATCCTGCAGTAAATTACCTAGAACTTAGCATTCTGACTAGTATCAATAGGCACTTAAATCAATGTATGTACAATGAATGACTATAAGAGCATGAAGGCTGCTTTAACGACAGTTTCATAATAAATATCTAATTAGCCACCAAACTGTAAAGACCAAAAAACTCAGTATTGTTTTAATAGTATTTATATTTATTTGTTGTAACTATTCTAACTGATAAAAGTGCAGTCAGTCTCAATAAGAACTGTTGCTAAGGTAGTGTCTCAATAAAAACAAGAAAAAAAGAAGTCCAGGGCGCTAAATGTCCTCTAAACCCAATCAACAATCCCCATGTATGCAGAGTAGGTGAAAAGTTTTCAATGCTGTGATTTTTTGAAGCAGACTGCCATGTCTGTATTCTGAGGCATCTCTGGCTGGGTCTGAACTACCAACATTTCAGAAAGCAACCATATGCATCATTCAGGGATTCATCAAAAAATCTGGGAATGTCAAAATCTTTTGTGTAAAAGAGTTAATTATTGATTTTAATAAAGTAATAATGATTACTTCTGGATAGGAATATGGGGAATGGGATGGAACAAAGAAAAAGTGACTTTCAAATGTATACCACATTGTATTTCTCAACAACAAACCAAACAACAATTGAACTAAATTGACTGGAGATACATAGCGGGTGGTCCTTGTTATTTTGTTACCTCTATTATCTCTTTGAAATATTTCATACTAAAGATACATTTGAAAGTGGCTATGGAACCAATCAGACTCCATCCTTTCTCTATAGGGCAGATTCTAGAACAACAGTTCATATTTAACCTTAAAATCAAATACTCATCACAACAGCACATGTATTTTACAGATACTAAATTTCAGTGAGTTTATTCATCCATTGTAGAAATACTTATTATAAATGATGTTTTATTTTAATTCTGTAGATGTTTAGATGAAAAAATATACACTGGGGGTAGAAGAGCCATAGGAAAATCTTTGTTAAAAAGCACGTTTCATCAACCATGTTTCAATGTTCCAAAGTGATCTACACATTTTCTTTCTCGAAGTTAAGATTAAACTTCTCAGGGTAAGAAACAATTTAAAATATCTTAATTGTGTAATTTCATTTTCTAAGATAATTTAAAGGAGAGCAAAAGTCCTAAGGAACCAAATGTAACTTGATAAAATAAGCAATCAACCAGAAATGAGGACTGAGTTCTTAACCCAGATCTGTAAGCTATACCCATATAGCTTACAGGACGACAATGTAATTATATTGTGGCTCCCCACCAAAAAAGAAAATACATTCAAAAGTAGGAACAACAAGGAAATAAGGAAAATGGCTTAAGATAAAGCTTTCCCATTAATTTTTAAATTAATTTTTTGTTGCTGAGAATATACACAAAACACATACCATTAACATGTACAGTTCAGTGGTACTGACTATCATCCAATTCTTATATAAAAGAAACATGCATTATTTTAAAAGAATATCATTTACGGAAGTAAATGTTTTTGTTTGTCCTATTACTTTACTGTCAAGACTAAGTAGCAGCCTAGAGCAGCTAGAGAAACAGAAGATACTTCTTGAAACAAAGACCAGCAGGAAAAATCAAAAATAGTAACAGCAGTCTGACTACTACAAGAACAAGCAAGTTCTTCACCAGGGAGCCATCAAGGCAAACAATCAAGTTCCCTCATGGTAAAACACTTTCAAGACTGAAACTCAAAAGAGAATACACGAGCAGGCATGTAATCTTGCTGGTGACCACAATGGTCACCGATAAGGGGGAAATGGAGGAAAAACAGCAATGACGTTGTGGGCTAAGTTCAACCACGTTCAACAGACTCCTGTCAACCTAGATTGAGACCAGGTTGGCCAGCAATGTAGCGAGACCTGGGAACTCCTGAGCCCATGCACAGGGACATAGCCACAGAGGACTAGAGCAGAGAGTGAAGCTACCAGGCTCATATGAAGTGAGGGGATATGCACAATAACACCCATACTTGAAGATGGTACCCATTTGACCTAGCTTCAATGGCTTGATGATCAGAACTTGACTAGAAGAAGAAAGAAGAGGGAAAAAAAGTATAATCTGCTATAATTTATAGAACCTGGCCTATAATTATGGATGTAGTAGTTTAAAAGAGGGAACAAATCTTTACAGGAAGGATCATTCCCACCTCCACTGTATGCAGGGTTGACAGGGTTGGGCAGCTTAGTCATTGGCTACCCAAAATGGGGAGTGCTCTGAAGGCACGAAGTGACTGGCTTGCAAGTTTTCAAGAGGGAGCTTAGCTTCAGAGGGTGTGGGGGAAGGTAGAATCTCGACTGAGTGGTTTCCAACCTCTCTAGATGGGACTGGTGAAATGAGATAGGGATAAGACACTTGTGATTCAACAGTGAATAATTGCTATCAGGACAGATTGTGAATGCAGCAAATGCAAAGGAAGACGTTTTGTAAAAAAAGGAGGGCAGTGGTTGATCTTACAGTCCAGGAGCAGAGAACCCTGGGACCATCAAGGAAGAAGAGCGGGTGTGGGACCCTATCCAGAGAAGCAGCGACACCAGAGATGGAGGCAGAGACGATGACGCGGAAAGATGAAGTGACTGGGGAATCTAGACTCAAGGAGGGAGAGGGGCTGTATGCTGGTGGCCGGGAGGCAGCCTTGCAGGGTATGCCTTTTGGTTCTTTGAATGGTTATATATTCCTGAGTGCTTCGGTGTACATCCAAAAAAACCCCAGCGGGATTGGAAGCAAATGCTGTTGAATGATGACGCATGGAGGGGATTGTAGTCATTGCAATGGAAGGAAATACAAAAGGATGAATGTAAAGCTGATGTTCTCCCATGTAAATTATCACTTAATTCACAATAAAAACTTTAAAAAAAAAAAAAAAAGATTAAATAGAACTATTTCAACTGAGGAAATTACTAGCTTACCAAAATTGGCGTCCACATTTGCAGCGAACAGGTTTAGCATCAGGATATTGGACTTTAACAACATGGTGGCAATCTGGGGCAGGACACCACTTTAACAGTCGATTGCACTGAAAGACAAATTGGAAAATAAAAACAAAAACAAACTAAACCTCGAAGCAGGTAACTTATGTCTAGGACACCGAGCAATTATTTACACTGCTTCTCTAATGCAAGGTGGAGTATCTTGAGAAGAAAGGAGGTGATGGTGACTCAAGAATGTAAGTAAAAACCTGCCAACAAAATTTAAATCTTCAACAGCAACAACTTTGGATTCATTCTTCTAAGATTACAGCTACTCTAAATACATGACTTTACTCTCTTGTTTTGTCTTCAAAATTCTGAGAAATTAAATTATAGGATACTTATCCTTACCTAATGGTAAGGAGCTCTGGTAGCGTAGTGGTTATGAATGGGGCTGCTAATCTCATGGTCAGCAGTTTGAAACTACCAGCTGTTCCACAGGAGAAAGATGAGGCTTTCTGTTCCTGTAAAGATTTACAGCCTTGGAAACTCTGTACAGGGTTGCTATGAGTCGGAACCGACTCCATGGAATATAGCAACAATAACAAATCCACTAGGGGAATCATTGTTTTTGTTGTTATGTGCCGTCAAGTCGGTTCCAACCTATAGTGACCCTGTATAGAGTTTCCAAGAAGTGGCTAGTGATCATTACACAGCTGGTGTGGCACTTTAGGCTTGGCACAGAAATGAGAACAGCAAAGTCAGCAGTTCAAACCCAACAGCTGCTTTTCAGAAACTTTGTACAAGATCACTTTAAGTCGAAACTGCCTCAGTAAGGTGCAAAAAAACATATCTTCTCCTACTTTAAGAACAAAAGTCAATTCCTACACATCACAGGCAAAAAAACTACATTCTTAAAGGTTTCTTTCTTTTTTCAAACTTTATTGAGCTAAAACATGTTGTCAAAGTGTAAACAGTACTCATGCAAGGAGCCCTTCTCTGACAACTGTCTACACCAGTCTAGGTATGAGAAGGAAAGTTCTCTCATGGAATCCTATATATTTATTTCACAGAATTTACCCAATTATAATCAAATAGTACTTGCATAATGATCACAAAAGGAAACATAAAGTTGAAATGTTTTTACTCTAGAACCAAACATAGCTCTATTAACACTCTGCATCAGTATTCGAAAGTCCATTATCCATCTCAAAACAACAACAACAAAACTATTTCTAAAATAATGCTGTCTAGAAGATCTGACCACCTCTGTTTACTGCCTAATAGAAATAAAATTTACTTTCCCAAACTGATACACTAAGTTAGATTTAATGCTCTTATACAGAGAATGGCACAAATAGTCTCTGTAGCAACTATGCCGTGTGCCACTGTAATGCCACCTGTCATTGTAATTCAAAAGCAGTCAAAGAAACAGGCATGGGTGTATTCCATGAAAACCTGATTTACAAAATCAGGCAGGTTGCAGTTTGCCAATCTCTGCTCTGATATAAAAAAGAAAAATCATAAAAACATATAACAATAATTTTTGTTAATAATTTACTGGCAAAGAACCCTAAAACAAGCAGCGAGACAGCAGAATCAGACTTCCATACATGACTGAATATATGATTGCTACAATTCTCCAATAGGCATAAAGAAGGATAAAGAATGAATATATAAACATGTTATCATCAAGATCTCTGAAGAGACATCTACTAATTGGTTTGTCACATTCCTTTGAGAATAAAGATATTTTGGTATGTTACAAAATAAAACATATAATCCAAGCATATAGTAAAGATGCTTCTTATTGTCAAGAGTACATTACATAAAGAAAAACAGTAACATTTGGATTAACAAATAGAACTCTGCATTAAAATAAGGAAAATAAAAGAAATCACTTACCTCTACAAAGCTATTAGTTATTAAATGCTGATACTTTAATTTAACTTTTGAATCTGTGATCAGGCGCCTATAAAAGCAAAGAATAAAATTTTTTTTATTTGGGAGTTTTTCCAATTAGTTTCCATATTTTTTAAGTATAATTTAAAAAATTGTTTATGCTATGGCTACACAAACTGTCTTAAACTGAAAATATTGAAATGCACAGATGTTACCAACAAATCTAACTGCATTAATCAAAAGTAATTTCAAAGTACCTATCAGTTTAGAACCACATAGGAACAGAACTGGACTGCAAACCACAAGTTTGGCAGTTCAAACCTACCAACTGTTCCTCGGAAACCCTACACAGGGTTGCTATGAGTAAGAATGGATTCAAAGGCACTCAACAAAAAACCCCACCATTCTTCTTATACATTTAGAGCTCTATTTTTAGTCAGTTTTTATTACTGGTGGTTCAAACTCATCAGCATTTTTCTTGGAAATTCTACACAGGGTTGCTATGGGTTAGAACTGACCCAATGGCAGTTAACAACAATAACCCTAATTTACTGGGATTTCTGGTTTGGCACTGTAGGATAAGCACTGGACCACAAAACACAAGGTCAGTGACTCAAACCCACCAGCTGCGCCTCAAAAACCCTGTACAGGAAGATACTTCTTGAAAAGAAAAACCGGCAGGAAAAATCAAAAACAATAATGGCAGTACAATTTACTACAAGAACAAGCAAGCTGTTCACCCAGGAGCCATCAAGGCAAGTGGTCTGGTCCCCCTTCAAAGACTAAGACTCAAGGGGAATACACGAGCAGGCACGGGGTCTGGTTGGTGACCACACTGGTCACCAATAAGGGGAAGTGGGGGAAAAACAGCAATGAAGTTGTGAGCTAAGTCCAACCATGTTCAATAGACTCTTGTGAACCCGGGTGGAAACCTGGTTGTCTAGCAGTATGGCAAGACCTGGGCAACTCCTGGGCCCAGAGGCAGTGACATGGCCACAGAGGACTAGAGCAGTGAGTAAAGTGTCTAGCTGATATGAAGTGAGGGGAGATGCACAAGAACACCCACACTTGCAGAAAGTACCCACTTGACCTGGCTTTAATAGCTAAATGATCGATCAGAACTCAACTAGAAGGAGAAAGAGGAGGGAAAAAAAAAAAAAAAAGAGTAATCCACTACAACTTGATGAACTTGACCTATACTTATGGATGTAGTAGCTCAAAAGAGGGAACAAATCTTTACTATGAGGCTCATTCCCACCCCCTCAGTACATACATTTGACAGGTATGGGCGACTTAGACATTGGCTACCCAAAATGGTGGGGGGGCGGGAAAGATGACGACAAAGGCAAGAAGTGACTGGTTTAAAAGCTTTCAAGAGGGAGCCTATGTAGTGTATACCCTTTGGTTGGTTGATGATGCATGGAGAGGATTGAAACCATGGCAATGAAATGACATACAATAGGATGAATGCAAAACTAATGTTCTCCCATGTAAACTATCACATAATTCACATTTAAAAAAAAAAAAAGAGGGAGCCTAGATCCAGAGGGCGCAAAGGAAGGCAGAATCTCCACTCTCCACTGAGTGGTTTCCAATCTGTTGGGACGGGGATTAGAATTTTGTGGTACAATAGTAAATAATTGCTATCAGGACTGACTATGAGGATTGGAAATGTAAAGGTAGATGTTTTGTAACAAAAGGAGGGAGTGGTTGATTTTGCAGTCTAGGAGCAGAGGTCCCTGGGACCATCAAGTGAGAAGAGTGCAGTGCAAGACCCTACCCAGAAAAGCAGTGACACCAGAGATGGAGGCAGAGACGATAATGTGGAGAGATGGAACTCTGGGCTTAGAGAGAGAAAGGGGCTGTGTGCTGGCAGCCGGGGGGGTGGGGGTTGGGGGGCAGGCTTGCGGGGTGTACCCTTTGGTTGTCTGATGATGCATGGAGGGGAATGTAATCATTACAATGAAATGAAATACAATACAATTCACAATAAAAACTTAAACAAAACAAAACAACACAACACAACACATTACTGGTGATGAGACATGGACTCATCACTACAAACCTGAGGGTAAACAGCAGGGATGGAAACATCCTCAATTGCTGACCAAGAAAAAAGTTCAAAAATTAACCTTCAACTGGAAAATAGATTATTACAGTTTTCTGGGATTCTCAAAAGGCCAGTATTGGTACACTCACGAAAAAAGGTTCAAAAACCAGCAGTGCTCATTACAGTGAGATGTTCACTGGAGAGCTGAATCCTACATTTTGGATTAAACACAAGAGGACTGCTATTCAAGGGCACTGTGATCGTGCATGACAACGCACACCCACACACTTCTGTCCAACATTGTTGACATTCTGCAAAAACTTCATTTTGAGGTGTTAAAGTATCCTTTCTATAGCCCTGATCTTGCTTCATCAGACTTTCACTCATTTGGTCCCCTGAAAGCAGCCCTTAAGGATGAAGATTCACCTCTGATGGAGAAGTGAAGACAACTGTTCATCTGTGGCTCACAGCTCAACCTAAAACATTTTTTATAGGGAATTTGAAGGCATATTGACAGATAAGAGTGTATTGGAAAGCAAGAGATTATGTCAAAAAATGATGTATCTGTGTTTTCTAAAAGTTGATTAAAATACATTCTATAGCCAGAGTGCAAAAAAAAAACCCCACAAAAAACCCTGTACAGGGTCACTGAAAGTTGGAAAGGACTTCATGGCACTTAACAACAACGATTCACCAACTACTGCCAAGTTTAGATCCCTCTCTTTCAGAGTCTTCTGACTCTGACGTGCCTTAAGATAACAATTCTCAGTCTTCCTCCCCAAGGCCTCTATCCCAAGTAAGTGTATGAAATGAAAGAGATGTTGTTGACAGGAATATACCCAAGTTTTGAGGGTCTTTTTCTGAGATCCCATTTGGCAATTTACCAGAAATGTCTAGTGACTGCAACTCGACTTTCCTTATTCACCAAAAACAGTCTATAATTCAAATAATTTTTAGAACTCACTGGGTCCAGGACAGTGTTATAGGAAAATAGTGTCAAAACAGGTAAAAACAAACAGTAATCACTTTCAAAAGACAGGAAGAACTGTATTGACGATGTACAGAGTTCAATTCCATTAAAATCTTTAACATGAGGCAAGAACGCACTGGGTGATTTGGCCACGCCTAACTCTTAACACTCATAGCCCATCATTTTCCAAATAATTTCATGGGTCCTGTGCCATTTTCCATACACATTTATATTTTTTCAAAAATAGTAAGCAACATCCTTTTGCTTCTCTTGGAAACGAAAAAGAAATACAAGGGTGCTTCAAAAAGTTAATCAATTTTTCCACCAACTTTTTGAAGTCTTCTTGTGTAACAACAAGGTGGGGTTCTGAGGTGAGACTGCTTTATAGGCTTTACAATTCACTATGAGTTATTAGTCAATTATTTGGCCTCTTAATGCCTCAGTTTACTAATCTGTAAAACAGTTAACAGAAATATAAACACGCAAGATTAGAACAGGCCTTTCTTTACACTGACTCCATTTCCCATTCATACCTGAACCCACACCAGTATGACTCCTACATTCCCCATTCTTGAAAAGCTGTGTTTTATAACAGGGAAATCATCTTAGTTGTTCTCCTTGATACCTCCTCTGCAGGAAGTGACACCACTGATAAGTTTTACAGATTCTCTGCTCCTTCACAAGCTCCTGTTAATATTCTCTTGGGTTCTCAAATTCTTCTTTTTTTAAATAAAAGTTTTTATTGTGAATTGAGTGAAGATGATGAGGGCAGATGATCAGTTTTACATTCAACAAATCATATACTTTGTTTCATTACAATGATTACAATCCCCTTCATGTACCATCATCAGTATTCTCTCTATTCATTTTAGCTCTTTTTGGTTCTCAAAGTCTTAAAGTGTCATTTAAATGTCTTTCAGTGATTCATCTTTCTCTTTTTTACCCTCAAGCGTCAAGTCTACTTTCATTCCTAGTGGGATGGCTTCCTTGTCAATTACTGGTCACCTACCCATTACTGGTCAAACCAAAAGGAAATTACTTTCTACTAAATTAAAAATCGCATATTCATACTGGAGGGATTTTCTTCTTCTTTCATACCCAATAACTAATCTGTCCCTAAGTTTTGTTAATTCTAAAGGTTCTCCCCATACAAATCCAAACTGCCACACTATCATCTTTAACTCCTTCAAAAGCCTTCTAACCAGTCGTATGGTCTAGTCTAAAGCATCCTCCATTATATTACCAAAGTTGTATTTGAAAAATTCAAATCTTATTATCAAAGTATTATCACCTTCTATGACAAAACACAAGGAGCCCTGGTAGTAATGTAGCAGTTACATGTTGGACTGCCAATTGAAATATCAGCAGTTTAAACCCACCAGCTGCTCCTTGGAAGATGAGGCCTTCTGCTCCCACAAAGACTTCAAGCCTTGGAAATCCAAACCAGGGTCCCTATGAGTTGGAACTGACTCTATGCCATCTCTCTATTATGTGTTCTGGCTACAGCTAAATCATTAATAGAGAAGATTGTGACCTATTTTTAAAATAGTGACTTTTTCCCCCCCTAACCAATACTACCCCTCATCACTTAACCCCATTTCTTCTTCTTGGTTTGCTGTTACTTTCTCTGTAGAATAACTAATTTGCTTCTAACAGCACCTTATCAATACCTTTATAAATAAAACTTAAACCATATAATGTAATTACTTATTGTGAACCTCTTGCGGAAAGGTACTATAACTTTATATTTTTAACAAATAAGTATAGCACCAGTAAATGTTTGTTGAAGGGATAAAAGAATAGAGGGACAAGAAGTCCACAAGGAACACAAAAGCACCAAGCACAAGGTAAAAACCCACCAGGAAGGTAGTACACATCAAGATAAGCTTATTTGTTGTTAAGTGCCGTCGAGTCGATTCTGACCCACAGCGACCCTGTATAAGCTTATTTATGCTAGTTTAAAACAATAATGAAAGTATGATTTACTGAAAGATTAAACACTAGGGTTAACACAGAGCAGACAACAAAGGTAAATGTATTGCAAATAAAGCAAACTGAGTAGGTTGATGTTTAAGAAAGTAGAATCAGTGAGCTTTAATTTATAGCTTTATTAGGTTAAGATATTTGCTCATTAAAGCTATGACAGTGATTACTTTTATTTCTTTCAAACTCTAGTACTTAAACAAAAGTATAGTTAAAAACCAAGCAAGGTTGGTTTGAGCTGCAAAATCTTCTACAGCAATGACTTTGGATGCATTATTCTTCTAAGACTATACTCTAAATACATGGCTTTATAGAATATATGAAATATAGTGTCTCTCTCTTGTTTTCTCTTCAAAATTCTGAAAAATTAAATATTAGGATAATTATACATTGTTGTTGTTAAGTGCCATCGAGTCAACTCTGATCAATAGCAATCCTGTATAGGGTTTCCAAGGAGCAGGTGGTGACTTTTTTGCAGAGTTCAAACGTTTTTGCAGTCTGTCGCATTAGCCCACAGCACCACAACATTTGTTGTTGTTGTTGTTGTGAGCCATCGAGTCAGTACCGATTCATAGCAACCTTATTATGCACAGCAGAACAAAACACTGCCCGATCCTGGGCCAACAACCTTTCTTGTTAAGTCTGTGGAGTCGGTTTTGACTTATAGAGACCCCAAACAGTGATTTGGGGATTTTAAGTTTTTGCGGGAGCAGAAAGCCTCATCTTTCTTACACAGAGCAGTTGGTGACTTGAATTGCTGACCTCATGGCTTGCAGTCCAGTGCTCATTCTACAGAGTTATCCCTGGAAACTTAATAAAATGGTTTGGCCCCTTACTCTGCAACCAAAGCAAAACAAAACAACCAAATAGAGCAAGACTTCCAGGCGGAGAGTAGCTAGCTAGCAGTTTCTAGCTACAGAGGCTCAGGGCTCCAGCTACAATGTTCGAGTCCAGGTAATAACTGAACATGGCATGAGTCCCCGGACCTGGTCATTTCTGCTTAGGGTCACACTCTTCCTACAAGCAGTCTATGTACTAGTGTTCCTCTGCCAGAGATCCTCTCTGAGCTCTGCCCTAGCCTATGTTTTTCTTACAAATTCCTCCTACCTTGTCGCTTCTTTAATAGGTGTCAGACCTGCAACATTCTCTACACACTCCTGATCCTTCTCCTCACCTTTATTCTGAACCGATGGTATCTCATAATAAATCCCTTTCACTTCTCTCCCGATCACAGCATGTGCTTGCCAGAAAACCTCAACTAATAAGCTGACATATCCTATTATTCAATTCTATGAGCTACGAAAAGGAGCCCTGGTAGGATAGTGGGATTACGAGGGCTGCAAACTCCAAGATCAGCAGTTCAAATCTACCAGTTGCTCCGCTGGATAAAGATGAGTCCATAAATATTTACAGCCCTGGAAAGCCTATACAGGGTCACTAAGAGTTGGAACTAACTCAGTGTCCATACAACCAACACCACCACTTTGATGTACCAAAAGATAGCTGGTTATCATGTACTACCAACGTTATCAAAATGGGGTTTCCAAGGCTATAAATCTTTACGGGAGCTGACCTTGAGATGAGAGAGAGAAAAGGAAAGGCTGGCTAGGACATCTGACTTAGCTTGGATGGTTAGTTGAGTAGAACGTGACCAGATGAAGATACAGTAGTTTGATACTCTGAGCAAGCATAAATTGCTACAATTTGAGGAACTAGACCTTTGCTTACAGATGCAGTAGCTCAAAATTCTAACTGATATGGAGGGATTCTATATATCAGGGATCAAGCTTATTTCCTCAGTGCACTCACTGGGTTGACAGGGATGGGAAGTTTTAGACACTGGCTATCAAAAATGGGGGTGGGAGGCTATAAAGTCATGGTGTGACGCTGTGGGATAAAGCACTGGACAGCAAGGTTGGTTTGAACCACAAGGTTGGCAGTTCAAATTTACCAGCTGCTGCCTAGAGACCAGGTCATTATGAGTTGGAACTGATTCCATGACACTTACAACAAATAAAGACATGAAGTAACTGGCTTACAAGTTTTCATGAGCGTACTTAGTTTCAGAAGGAGGGGAATAAAGTAGAATACCCACGGAAACGTCTTCCTCTTTTCCAGATGGGTCTGGTGAAAGGGGATGAGGGATGATACTGATAGGATTTTATGCTTCAAATGTGAGAAATATCAGGATTAATGGCAATTGTCACAATGGTAATTGTAGTAGACGTGTAACTAAAAGGGGGAAATAGATAATCTTCCATTTCAGGAACAGAGGACCCCAGATACATCAGGAAGGAAAAGCATGAGTGGAGCGTGTTGAGATCCTACCCAGACAAACAGTGATGGTGGCAGAGGCGATGATATAGAGAGATAGAGCAGTTGATGACTATAGTCCATGGATTGAGAAGGGCTGTGTACCTGTGGGCAGGAGGGTGGCTTCCAAAATGTGTCCTTTGAGCATTTAAATGGATATATAGTTTTTGTTTTATATGTGTACATCAAATATTTTTTTTGTTCGTTTGTGAAAAATAACGTGTAAAAGGGAAGTAATGGTGAAAACAGGATTAACTTGTTACAGGGAGGGAAGTGTAATCATTAAGATGAAACAAAACATACGACTGGTTGAAAGTAAAGCTGATGATCTTGCTTGTTTACCTTCACTCAATTCATAGTAAAAAGTTATAATAAAATTATCTTTGAGGGAGTAGAAAGCCTCATCTTTCTCCCAATTATTAGAATAGTGGCTGGACATTTAACCATGTTTAAAAGTGGACTTTGATACTACCAAGAAGGTTGATTAGAAAGTCTCTTCAGGCCAAAGTTTTAAGATTCAGCTCCTCTCCCTTAAATAATCAACTATATAAGACCATATGATAAACATTTACCCAAAAACAAAGATGAGAATTCTCAACACGGAGGAACACAGAAGCTAGATTAGTGGAAACAGAACCAACAGAATGGAAATGCTAAGAATGCTGACATATGGCAAAAAATGTAACCAAGGTCATGAAACAATTAGTATGAAAAATGTTAAATGTGAACTCAATTTGCTATATAAACTTTTACTTAAAATACAATAAAACATTTAAAAAGCTTCACTTCCCTTTGCGATGCTGAGTAAAGTCAATTTGGTTTAACTAACAAACCAATATTCAACAAACAGAATCAATCAAAAATACTTACATAACTGTGTTGTCATCCACTAAGATATCACAACCATGAGCAGGACATGATATAGTCTGAAAAAGATTGATTAAAATTCAAACAATGTCTTCATTAAACATTACTGAATGCCCATCATCACCAGCTACTTTGCTAGGTTTTGAGGATTTCTGAACATTATAGTTATCTAACTCCTTCCCCCTTTCTATTTAAGGAAAATAATGTGTGTGGGCTTATCAATATAAATTAGAACTTCTGACCTGAATAATTGGTTTTTCAATAACAAAAGACAGATACCTGACAAAACTGTTCAACTTTAGCCTGACACAGAGATGTAAATGCCTATGAGAAAACATTACTTAGATTGAAATGATAAATAGAAAAAGTGTTAGCTATCTTTTAGTTGCATTTAGAAGAGTATCCATGGGATTCATAATCTTGAAAGCGTGATCAATTTATATGTGTACAAGGGTCTAAACACTGTACAAAGTTCACCAAAAATGGAGAAACAATGGGTTTCTTTACCTGCCCCATGCCCTCCTCCATGATTTTGGTTGTTAGATATTCACTCCAGCACTGCATGCAGAATTTATGTCCACACTCAAGGCCAGTGAAATACTGCAACAAAAATAAAACACAGACTTTAATAATGCCATGATCAGAAAATACACTAAACACATGGACACAACGCTTTTTAAAAATGACTCTATTAGGTTCACAATTTTCAAAGCAATAAAACAGTCCAATTTGACAAGAACAGATGGGCTCCTAAAAAGAACTTCTAGATGGTGAAATACAGATACGCAAATACACTGAACACAAAACATTCAATTAATGAGAAAGGCATCTGTAGTAGATATTTGTAATTTTTTAGGAAAGGCAGACAACAATAGTTAACTTTGTGTTAAATGTGTGTCATGTACCAATAAAAGTACACAAAAAAGATGCTCAATATCACCAGTCATCAAGGAAATGTAAATCAACACTACAATGAGATACCACTTCACAGCCACAAAACAAAAAGCAACCTTATGTGTAAAGAGTCGATTCTGACTCATGTTAAAACAGAGTAGAATGACTCCATAGGGCTTTCATGGCTGTTGTCTGTATGGAAGAAGACTGCCAGGCTCTCATGGTGCTCCTGGGTGCATTTGAACCACCAATACATGGGCAGTTAACTGCAAACTATTTGTCTCAGAGACCTCTCACACCCATCAGGAAGATAAAAATCAAAACCACAAATAAAATGTTGGGAAA